ATTAATGTGTTCAGCCTAGTAAGTTTTACTATATTCGTGTTGTAGAATGTTAGTGTTCTCAGCTTAGTAAATTGTGTTTTGTTTATGTGACTGAATATAGTTGTGTTATGTTTCATTAGTCCTATTCTATTCACTCAGTAGAATGCTTATGTTTTCAGTTTCGTTAATTTTAGCAACAGAGTTCTTCTTTATCCCACTATATAAGATGAAAATTATCAGGGCTGACATTTGTTTAGTTTGTCTTAGTTTTTTGGGTTTGTGATCAAGTTCTCTTACTCTACCAAACCAAGATGCAGCATAATGTTAGCGCTTGTTAGTGCTTTACATGGATAGATTTGGAACAGAAAATAAACATTGATGAATGATCTTTATAAAATCAACATGCATAGGTGGAGGATTGGGTGGGGGAATTTGGGTGCAAACACATCTCCTAGATTTTATTTATATATGTGTAAAACACGTTTAAAAGGTGTAAAAACAGGCTCAGAAACTATGAAAAGAAATCAGTTTCAGTGACAAATATAAAATGGTGCCTTTCTATGATATATTTTATATTTTCAGTGACAAATATAAAATGGTGCCTTTCTATGATATATTTTATATTTTCAGTGACAAATATAAAATGGTGCCTTTCTATGATATATTTTATATTTTCAGTGACAAATATAAAATGGTGTCTTTCTATAGTATATTTTATATTTTCAGTGATAACTATAAAATGGTGCCTTTCTACAGTATATTTTATATTTTCAGTGATAACTATAAAATGGTGCCTTTCTATAGTATATTTTATATTTTCAGTGACAAATATAAAATGGTGCCTTTCTATAGTATATTTTATATTTTCAGTGATAACTATAAAAGTTTTTGAAGGGGGCATGCCCGCGGGACCCCAAACAAAAAAAAACCAATGCTTTTTTAATGTTCACTGAAACGGAACAGAAAGTTGGTAGGCACTTGTGTACCCTAAATTTTTGCTTTATACAATCAAAGTTTACCAAAACGTAAACGCTTCTTTTAATGTTCTTTATATAATCAATATCTAACGAAAAATTTGTACTTCTTAGTGCGCTTGCTACAGTTTGGGGCCAGACGTGATATAGCGGTTAGCGTGCTTGAACTTTAAATCCAAGGGTTAATGATTCACGGTCCGATGCTGCAAAAACGGGACTCTTCCTTTTGAGGCTATGAGTGATCTATAAAAGTGACGATCAAATCCCACTTTTTGGCCAACTAAGAGTAGCAGAAGCTTTGTTTGTGGATGCTGTTGCCTAGCTGCCTCCTTCCTAGTCTATCTGTTCAAATTTCGGGATAGCTATAGGCAGATAACCCTTTGTGTAGCTCTTTATCGGTCAAATGATTAATTATGTTCCTTCTGGAAATGTGAGTCTTAGTGAACAAATTTTACAACCGGAAAATGTTAAATAATAACTACTCAGGAACCTTCAAATTGTGAAACGCTTAATTCTGAAAACAGTAACAGTGAATTACAAGTACAGGAATATACACGAGGGAATTTTCAATAGCCACGACACTTGAAATACTTTTATGCAGGATTAGAGTAAATTAATATATGAACCCTTTTATTTATTTTTATTAGCTATATTTTGGTGAGCCAGCAATACCAAGCGTGGGGCGCCCGTACACCCAATTTGATTTTATTACTCATCAGGATCTCTACTAGCCTACCCTCAAATTGAAATTCTTTTAGACAGGATTAGAGTAAATACATCAGTCGAAAGGGTTTGACCTCCTGAGTACAAAACTGTAGTTAGATCTCAAATCG